TGTCACAGTGTTTGGTTGTGGTGCCCTGGACTGGTCACTTGAGGGCGCTCTTCTGGTCTATGTTGTTTGTGTTAAACTCCATTTCCCATAGTCCCCTGCTCATTAATCCTGCTCTGATCTGTAACACCTGTTCATCATTTACTCATTATCCCAGCTATATATATCATGCTTTCTCTGTCTGTCATTTGCGTCTTGATTGTATTGTCTTCTCAGTTTGTGTTCTGTGGTCATGTTTTGGATTACCTTTTGCCACGTTTTTGTTCTGTTTTGTTATGTTGTTACTTTCAAATAAACTGCACTTGGAACTTACCTTGTTTTCTCCTGGCAATCCGTGACAGAAATATTTACTATTTTGAAAATATAATTAATTGAATAAAACCGAAGATATGTAAATAACAATAAACAATGTAATTTATGTATGACTGAACACATCATGTGTGATGCATCACATCAAGTTTATTATGTGTTTATGTTAAAACTGTGTGATCCAAATGGATTTTTATTTTTGTTTTAATAGAAATTGGATGGAAATATTTTCTAAATTCTAAATTTAGGTCATTCATTTTCTTGAGTCCAGTTGTCTTTAATGTGGCTGGAGATACTGGTCAGCTCCTACTGCCTTTTAACAGTTCAGTTCACTTAAAATGCTGAACACACCTGTGCTTTGACCTCAAGGGCACTAAAATAACTTGTAGAAGGTAGCAGAGGGACACAATATTTCATGCAATGGTCTTGGGTGTTTCAGTTGTCCAAAAAGTGCCTTTGAGGTGAATGGAAATGCTAGCTTTCTCTGAGTAATACAGACCACTTTGATTCAAAATCCCATATCTCACTGGGTTTTCCCAAATGGCACAGGTGCTGTGTACTTGCAGTCTAGTGTCTGAGAAGCAGGGTGGGACAACATAGGGTGTCCCATTTGAAAAGGGCTGTGATGTCTGTAGTCAGCATTTGAGCCACAGCTGTATGGGATATGAAATGAGTTCTTATTGGCTGTGATTGTCACTTCACTCAGCATTTGCTTTCAGTGAGAACAGACAAAAACACTTGATGCTGGACACTTTGTCTCTGGTTAGGGCACAGTTTTTGTATTTCTGTAGTTCAACCTCCCTTTCAATTACTATCTCCTCTCTCTCTCTCTCTCTCCATTCATCGGTCCTGTTGTCATTGAAGATCACCCCAGGCTCAGCTGCTACAAAGCGTGACATTCTCATCAAAGACTGCCATTCTTTCATTCTTCCTCAACCAAATCACATAATCGATATTTCTGTCTCCACCTCAAAATATTTATCTTGCTCTCGCTCATCTCTTGAAGATAGTGATTCCTTGAACTCTAAAGCGACCTAGCAACAATGAAAAAAAAAAAAAACTGAGAAAGATTTTGAACATCATTTTCGGGATAGTTGGCTGTCCACTATAACATTGCTCTTTGAATTGACATATATTTATACATTTCTAAACTCACTAAGGGTGCTTTCACACTAGAACCTTTGCATGCTCGGGTATGTTTGACGTCAGACTTCGGTTTGTTTGGATGATGTGAATTTTACAGTGAACTGGCGGATTTTCCGAACACAGGTGTGCACCCGCAAACCGAACACCAGGTCGGCTAAAAAGGTAGAACAGTTCATGTAAACTCCAGTATGGTCCATGTTGATACAAACACAATCATCCTAGATTGCGTGAACTGATATTAACTGACTTACTGTATGATTCTGAGCTTCGTCAGTTATTTTTAAGTAATTCCACTGTTTAGTAGGTTGAGAATCAGCTTTTGGGAGCAGCATTGCAGACACCAGAACAGTAAAATAAATGTCAGCACATGTTTTGCCATTGATGAATAGGGCCTAATATATAAATGAAAAAGCACAGCCACCCCTTGTGAAAAAGTACATTTTAGCATACTTTTAAAAAGAGTATTTATCATGAAAATAATGCATTTTAAAAGAAAATACTTAAATTGTTGGGCACTTAATTGCATGTTATTTATAATTTAATGAAATACATTATAGTTTAAATCGACATAAAATGCAACTAGTTGAACTTAAGAGAGCTCTTTTTTTCACCCACGTAAGTAGGACTTGTATGTCATGTACTTAAATATACTTGTAATTACAGATTTGTAATAATTAAGTTGCAATTTAGTAAATTTAAAATAATAACTTGAATAAATGAAATAACAAATAACACACTATAAATACAATTATAATCCAGTAGGTTACACTTTATTTTAAGGTGTCCTTGTTACAGTGTAATTAAACATTTAAGTACTGAGTAATATTAATTAACTACATGTACTTACTATATGGTTAGGGTTAGGATTAGGGTTACCTGCATGTAATTATGAATCATTTATTGTTATTATAATAGTAAGTGCATGTCAAATGTAACAAGAATACCTTAAAATAAAGTGTTACCATCCAGTACTTCATATGTGCTTAATATTAGCCTGTACCATGTTAATAACGTGTTTAGCAAAAACGCTGAAGAGGTTTTTAGCAGAAACATATGAGAAGGCCAAAGCAACCATACTAGAGTTTCACAGCCACAGTCCTTTTCCAGTGACAGAATGAAGAGAAAAAATCTGAAGCATGGATTCTAGAGGAGGGATTAATGTGCCCTGCTGGCTCAGATTAATGACCCAAAAATAATACCTGTATTCTATTGAGAAAGCGTGGTGAGGGCAAAGAAGAACTGGAGGTATTATTAATACATAAGTGGAATATTTTGAATGAGAAATGTCTTTTTGTGAAGGGCTGATATGAAAGAACTTTGAAAGATTTGGCAGCAGTTCACTCGCTTATGATGAGTCACGTTCTGGAACAATCTATGTTATTATAAAACACACTTTTTAGCATAAGGGCTAAGAGAACATATTCGAGAATATATATACTGTTTTAACATTTTTGAAAGAAGTCCTGTCTGCTCACCAAAAGCTGCATTTATTTACTCAAATATAGATAAACGATAATGTTGTGAAATATTGCAAAAAAAAAAAAAAACTGTATTCTGTCTGTCTGTCTGTCTATCTATCTATCTATCTATCTATCT